GAGTCTCTTGAGAATCTGTAAGAAAATGTTTTAAAAGCTTTCGTTCTCTGCTATCCAATTATAACAATGCTAAATTTAGTCAGATTTTGGTTTGTCCTCATCTGCACAATGATGATAATCTCTAATTTGGACTTTCCAATATAAGCATTGTTATGAAATCGTCTGTAGTCTAAGATTGCTTAGAAAAGGCAAAAATAACCTTAATTCTTGCAAATCTGAACAACAATATGCAGCATAAAAAGAAGAAAAGGCTCATTGCATAACAACTCAGCAGAACAGTGAATACCCAAAGCCTCCTTCCATGGAGTTACCCAGCCCTGAAAACAATTTTCCTTTATTCAAGCATACTTAAAAACAAAAACAAAAAACAAAAAACCTATAATCCCCATTAAAACTTCCGGAAGCAATTTTGGCATGGACCACACCAGGAACAGAGAAAGTAGGTAAGATATTTAACAAATAAGAGAAGTATAGGTCACATTTATATCATCAAATGATTAGACCTTTCGGCTGTATTAGGTTTACTGAATTACACCTTTATCACTTAATACAGAGATCTTCTTTGTAGCATATAGTCTAGCCAAAAGTTATAAAGTTCATTTCTGTAAAACCCAGGGAAGTCAATGAGCCTTGGTCCAATAACTAAACTACTTATGCCTCTTGTCAAGAATGTTTTATGCACACGCACCCACGCACATATACACACCCTATGTAGCAAAAAGCTTTCCTAACAATTTCTGATATATCATCTCTCATTCTCTCACCTAAAATAAAATTACTTTCCTTACCAGACTCAATCAATAGTATATTTTAATCTCCTTTCCTTCCCTGTCTTATGCTCCATTCAAACCTTCATTAAGTAACCTGGCCCTTTCTGTCTTCAGAGCATGAACACTAACTTGAAACCAAGGTACACAGTTTAAACTTGGGAACTAGATACTAATATCTCAAGCAGTTACAGAAAAACATGTGTTATAAACGATGAAAGAGATAGCTAATTAATCATGAAGGCAACATAATGAGGTTTCTGTTAGATTTTTTTTGGTAAGTCTTCTTTTCTGTTATTTTTTCCCTCTCAGGCATATCAGAATTATGAAGCAGAAGTGCTATCTTCACATTCCTCTTAAATTTCCATTTCTTTCTCCTTTTTTTTCTCTGTATCTGACATCATCATAGGTACAGGTCCATCACATATCTTTCAAAATTGTATACCAGTCAATGAAAGGGTCTTTAATAACTGCTTTGAACATTTAGCAGCATAAAATTTACTCTTCTTTCAACTGTTCTTGTTTTCTAGAGTACTTCATCCATTTAAGAGGCTTTAAAATTCTTTTATAGATTTTATGCCCATGCTCATCAATATAACCACTTGATTTGAATAAATATGAACCTTATAAAAAATAAAATGAAATTTTGCTAACATCTCAAAATAACATTAATAAGTGTTTTACTGCCTGTTAGCACTAAATAAAGTAATATTAATAAGGATCATCATGCTTAGCCTTCCACAATCAAGCAGATTCTTTGGAAGCTACTATTTCAATAGGACAATAGCCACTAGTTTGGGGTACAGGTCTAAATTCATTCAAGTATATCCTCATTTCTTCACTCACTACATATTTACTGTGCTTCAACTATGGTTATAGGTACTTGGCTGTGCGCAAAATAACTGTATCATCTCCTTATTCTCAAAGAACTAGAGTTTGTGCAGGAGAATGACATTAATCAAATAATGGCATTTGTGAATGTACACTTACAAACTGAGATGGGGTTTGTCAAGAAAGACAGTGGGATTCCATGAGAAACTATTAAAAGGAATTTGATTCTGATTTGGAGTCAAGGAAAGAAACCTCTCCTAAAAAAGTGATATTTAAGTAGAAATCTGAAGGATAACTAGCAAGTTGTTAATTAGGCAAAAGAAGTCATGAGATGGCGGGGGGCAGGGGTGGGTAGGAAGAAAGGAGGACTCTTCAAAACTGAAGGAAAAGCATGTGAAAACGTCCTAAGAGGCGTCTTAGTTTCTTACTGCTGTAACATACTACCACAAACTTAGTGGCTTAAAACAATACAGATCTATTATCTTACAGTTATGGACTTCAGAAGTTCAAAATGGATCTTACAGAGCTAAAATCATGGTGTTCTTTCTGGAGGTTCTCGGGAAGAATCTGTTTCCTTGCCTTTTCCAGCTTCTAGAGACTGCCTACATCCCTTGGCTTGTGGTTTCTTTCATCCATCTTCAGAGCCAGCAAGAGTCAGTCCAATCTTTTTCACGATAGTTTCTCTTTGGTTCTCTCTCTTTGCTTCTCATTTTCACTTAGGACCCTTGAGTCCATCTACAAAATCCATGATAACCTCTTTATCTCAAAGTCCTTTATTTCATCATGTCCCATTTTACATGTAAGGTAACATACTTGTAGGTTCCAGGGATTAGGACAATGGACATTTTTGGGGAGCCATTATAATACCACCATGAGAGAGATTATATATCATTTATGAACGGAAAGGCCAGAGTAGCTGGGTGCAGAAAGTGAGAAGAAAAGTGGTACTGGATGAGGCTGGGGAGGTGGGCAAGGACCACACTATAGATAACATCATACACCATATCAAGGGTTTTGATCTTTATTCTAAGAACTCTGGGAAGCTAGCTATAGAAGTAGTGACAGATTAGATTTTATATTTTATTTTTTTTATTATTTTTTTTTAAGATTTTATTTATTTATTTGACAGAGAGAGAGACAGTGAGAGAGGGAACACAAGCAGGGGGAGTGGGAGAGGGAGAAGCAGGCTTCCCGCCGAGCAGGGAGCCCGATGCGGGGCTCGATCCCAGGACCCTGAGATCATGACCTGAGCCGAAGGCAGTCGCTTAACCGACTGAGCCACCCAGGCGCCCCTAGATTTTATATTTTAAAAATATCCTCCTGGCTACTGGATAGAAAGTGTATTTTAAAATAGCAGAGGTTCAGGAAATAAGATGATGGTGACTGCAACAACAGATATTCAGATGATTATTATTCAGATTAGTGAAGTCATTTGGGTCTTTACTTCCTAATTGGGTGATTCTGTAACTTTGGCTAAACATCTTTCTGGTAGTTCTATGGGGAAGATGAAATGTTATGATACATAACTTGCCATTTATACAGAAACAGTCCCAGGCATGATAAAGACTCTTTGTATTATATTGCTTCTATTATTAATTACTGTGCATAACTCCATACTAGTAAGTTAGACAACTTTAGTAATATGGATGATTTTATGGAAAAGGTTAAAATGATTATACCCAAATAAATTTCTATCTTAAGAAGAAATATAATTCAAGAAGTAGAAAACTTGAATAAATTAAGAACCCTTATAAACACTGAGTGGGGGAAGAGGGTTAGAGAATGGGGAAATAGAGGGGGGCAGGATCCAAATCATGTTAGATCTTGGAGCTTATTCTAAGAATATTGGCTTTTACTATAAGTAAAATTGTGAACCTTTTGAGAGTTTTGAGGGGTGTCATGGTTTAAACTGGGCATTACAACTAGCTGATACTTTGAAAATAGACAGATCACAGGGGTGTTAGTGTAGAGAGACAGAGGCCAGGGAGGGACTACGCCAATAATCCAGAAGAGGCTGATTGTGGTTTAGACCAGGATGGTAGCACTGAATGAGGTGGAGAGAGTGGTTGGGTTTTTGCTATGTTCGGAAGGGTTTCTAATGGATGTGAGAAAAAGAAAGTTGTCAAGAATGACTCCCAAGTTTTAGCCTGAGTAACCAATGGGACAGAGCTGTCATCAATGGAGATAGAGGAGACTGACTTTGGGTGTGTGGGAGATCAAGTATCTCAGTTAAGAACATGATAGGGAATTCTGGTAGACCCTCAAATAGAGTTGCAGAGTAAGCAATTGAATATGAATTTAGAGCTCAGGGGAAAGGTCTAAGCTGGAAATATAAATTTGGGAGTCATTGTATATAAACAGTATTTAACAGTTTGAGACTAGATGAGATCACCGAGGGAGAATATAGAACATGAAAAGCTCCACTAGGGATGATGCCTGAGGCACTTAAGAGGTGGGAAAGAAGATTAAGAATCAGCAAAGAAGGCTGAAATGGAGCAGCTAGTGAGGTAAGAGGTAAACCAAAAAGAACATGGTGCCATGGAAGCCCTAACTTTTTCTTCTCTAACATCTACTCATCTTTCAGATCTCAGTCGAGTGATATTTTATTCCCTAGACTTAGTTAGTTGTCTCTCCTAAGTGTCTCCACAGCACCCTGCCTCCACAGTATCTCAGCTTTTTTCAATTATATTATAATTGCCTGTACGGACTCATCTCATTCTATAAATTGTAAGCTTCCTGAGAGGAGAAATCAAGTTTCTCTCACTCACAAAACATTCCAGTTTAGTATAGTACTTAACACACAATAACTGCTGAATATAAGTCAGTTGAATTGAATTAGGAAAATAAGTACTTACCCTGTGGTTACAGACAGGTTGCCAGGGTGATAGGAAGAGTCTACTAGGATTATCTATGCCACAAATACCACACATGCATTTATTTTGTTTATTTTTCTATGTAACCATCTGGAATTTTTCAGCACAAACTTGTTGGTGTGTCTCATGGTTTTGATTCAAGTAGGGAAGGAAGAAGGAAACCAGTATTTATATGTATATGGCAAGCATACATATCAAGCATGCCTTTTTTATGTTAGCTCACTTAAGCAGTCAACCCTCTTCATAAATTTGGGAAGAAAAGTACGATTACCTCCACTTTACTTTATATGTCTATTATATATAGATATGGGTATATAAACTTGTATATAGATATAAAAAAGTAATATATATTTGAAGAGTTATTGATATGATAATATACATAGATATATATACACACATATATTTAAACACATATACATACATAGATATATAGATACAGATATATAAATACACACACATATATATAAAAATTACTGCCTGAGTAAAATAAAACAAATGGTTATTTTAAAAATACAATTATGTTACTTACTGGAAAGTATAGAAGCAGAGACCCAAAAAGAATTGTTTCCAACAGGATAAGACCTGATGCCCTGATGCTCTAAAAAAAAAAAAAGAAAGAAAAAGAAAAAGTCATTGTTAATTTACATTCCTAGAATGGAAGAACTTATGTTCTTGTGACAATGCCTCAACCAGTAAATGAAAATTGGCTAGTATTCCAGAAGTGAACTTAACTGAAACCTAAAAAAAGACTGACTATAAAGGTGGTGGTGACTTGATGATATTGCCAGTGGCTTCATGGAATTTTGTTCTCTAAAATTTGAATCCATGAGCAATCTGAGCAGCTGAGAACACTTTTTAGAAGATCCTTTCAATCCAAGAAGTTCACAGATACAAAATATCTTGCTTGTATTTCTGAAACATCAACCACAAGTACATATGGAATGCTAACCCTTAACCATTTCACAAATACTTGCAGGAGGGTTTTAGTGGATAAAACAGACATACACACAAGGTCTTGGCATCTCAGTAATATATATCCCATCATGTCAAAAATAGTCACCGAAGCTCACCTAACAGAGCTCCACTATGTGAATAATATAAATCACATTAAATAACAGAGGTATTTCACCTTGTGAATATGCTTAAATTATTCTTAACTGAAAATTCAATAGAATAAATTGATTTTTGAATAATTTCCTAATTATTTAAAGTTTACTATGCATAAATATGCTTAATAATCTTAAGATATTTTGTTAGACTCAAATAGCATTATCTTTCCAAAGCAGAATGACTGAAATGGCAAGAAATAAAAGACCAAAGAATTTTATCTTCTAATAAAAAATTTTGCTTCAATGAGTTCAAGTATCAATACAGAGTAAATATATTAGTTAAGAATACAAACACAAGGGGCGCTTGGGTGGCTCAGTCATTAAGCATCTGCCTTCGGCTCAGGTCATGATCCCAGGATCCTGGGATCGAGCCCCACATCAGGCTCCCTGCTCTGCGGGAAGCCAGCTTCTCCCTCTACCAGTCCCCCTGCTTGTGTTCCCTCTCTCGCTATGTCTCTCTCTGTGAAATAAATAAATAAAAATCTTAAAAAAAAAAAAAGAATACAAACACAAAAACAGGTTATTCTTGAACACCTGTGTTTTCACTAAATGCAACATGAAATATATACAAAAATGACACCTGGTGCAAATATAGTACCTCCACAGGAAAATAATTTGAAGTAGTAGCAACTGATTTTGCAACAACAAAAAGAAGCTAAAAACTCAAGCCACAAGAGTCCATCACATTAAAACAATGTCAGATAAAAATAAAAACAAACAAAAAAACCCCCACACAATGTCAGATAAATGACAGCCAGAGAAAAAAAATTATAATATCTCTTCAAAACACTGCTAGGACATTGTTAGACATAGAGGAATACTTTATGTAATCCTCAAAAGAACTCAAGGCTTTCATTAATCGAAGAATTTGCAATGGAGAAACAAGTTTAGTCAGCGAACAGACTTGATTATTCAAGTGGCTTCTCACTATTGGTCTTTATTTTAGCTAGCAGATGCTTTTAGTGAAAAGAAAACTTCTATCAGCAAGCCTGTAGATGGGTTTTGGCTGGTGGAATTTCTAAGATGGCAAATTACATTCATACCTAATTATGAATACTAGATTTTTAAAACTTTACAAAAAGATGACACTAAGAGTGAGAGCCCAAAATATTACACAAGACTGCTTATAAAACAATCTATGTAATATTGTTTAAAGATTTATTTATTTGAGAGAGAGAGCATGCTCGCATGAGTGCAGGGTGGGGACGTGGGAACGGAGGAAGAGGGAGAGAGAGAATATCAGACTCCCTGATGAGGGTAGAGCCCCACACCAGGCTTGATCCCATGACCCCAAGATCATGACCCGAGCAGAAATCAAGAGTTGACACTTAACCGACTGAGCCACCCAGTGCCCCCTCTATGCAATATTGTTTTAAAGAAAGGGATATGAAGAGAAGCTGCAAGGTTTAATGGAAAAGACAGACTTTGAAGTTCTCTTCATCTCAGTCTGAATTATGAAACAATTACTGAATAGGTCACCTTGAATTTCAAAGTCTTCACCCATAAAATGGGCTTCCTAATATTTATCTTATTAAATCTGAGGGTTTTAATAAAATGTAAAGTATACAAAATGGCTACTATTATGCCTGATTCTTAGCAAGTAGGTATACACTCTTCAAAGTAAGAAACAGCACCAGGATGGTGAATTTGAAATCCATAGTAGTAGCAGTCAAATTTTTTTTTAATGCTTGGAATCCAAATGACCTCAGAAGAGCCCAAAGTGGGGGTAGAGAACCCAGGAGCTCTTTTTGTTTGCTTCAGGGCCAGTATTTCTTAGCTGCGTTACAATAGTTATTACTACATAACAGCGGTAGTGGTGCATATATTCTCAGAGTAAATAACCTGTTTCCTTTTGTTGAGCAATCTTCTTAACTCTTCACTGCCTTGCTCCTGGCTGAGCAGAGGAGCCCATAATTTCAAATTATTAACTGGAATCCCAAGAAGTGGTTCCATAATCAAATGGAAGGCCTATTCAAAATGTACACTTTTCTTTTCAAAATATTCTTGGACTGAGTTGGCTTCATGGCCTTACAGAATGAGTAGGTACCTAATAGGTAGGACTTCAGGGACAAAAAAAGAAACCTCATGCTCCCTAAAACATTTCCCTGTTGTCTTATTGGTACTGGAAGTTCTTTGAACTAGAGAAAAACCTTTTATTTTATACTTGGTGCCAAGGATTAATATACAAATGTTGTAAGTAACATGCTGACTTAAGTTCAAAGTGAAGAACAGAAATCTTTTCCTTGAAGTCTAAGTGATAGGATGAGGAAGGAAAGAGGAGGGATTGAAAAATGAAGATGGTGCAGCCACTCTGGAAAACAGTATGGAGGTTCCTCAAAAAGTTAAAAATAGAACTATACCGTATGATCCAGGAATTGCACTACTAGGTATTTACCAAAAGAATACAAAAATACTAATTCAAAGGGAGACACACACCCCTATGTTTATAGGCATTATCTACAATAGCCAAATTATGGAAACAGCCCAATTGTCCCTCAACTGATACATGGATAAAGAAGATGTGGTATATATTTACAATGGACTCTTATTCAGCCACAAAAAGAATGAAATCTTGCCATTTATATTGATGTGGATGGAGCTAGAGAGCATTATGCTAAGTGAAATAAGTCAGTCAGAGAAAGACAAATACCATATGATTTCACTTATATGTAGAATTTAAGAAACGAAGCAAACAGGCAAAGGGAAAAAAAAAAGAGAAAGAGGCAAACCAAGAAACAGACTCTGATGTCGCCAGAGGGGAGGTGGTGGGGGGATGGGTGAAACAGGTGATGGGGATTAAGAAGTGCACTTGTGATGAGCACAGGATGATGTATGGAAGTGTTAAATCACTATATTGTATACCTGAAACTAATATTACACTGTATGTTAACTAACTGGAATTAATATAAAAACTTTAAAAAAAAGAAAAATGAAGATGAGCAAGGGATATAATGAGCAAAATAATAGAGCCCAAGAGATAATTTCATCTCCTTCACAGTTGTGCCTGAGATAGAAATGGTGGTATGTAGCCCTTTAACCAGAATTGCTAACTGAGAAATTCTGAGAAAACTTTATTGAAAGAGGATCAATAATATACAATATACTATTTATTTAAAATACATACATAATACAAGTCAACACTATATATATTCTAGATATATATAAATATATCAAATACATATCTGGAAGATACATACCAAGCTGATAACAATGTTTTTTTTTTTTCTTCTGGAGGAGTGGATAGATTTGAGGACAGAGCAACTTATTCAAAAATATATTCATTTCTTTGGAGATGTAATCATGCATTGCTAAGTAATATGCATTTTTGATAATTAAATTAAGTAAAATTAAAGTGTTCTAAAATGTGACAATTTAGTTATTGGAAAATTCCACCACTAGGCATCATAATATGCCAAGAAGTCTAAACGAAGGTCTTCCCAACTAGTATCTACTTCGTAAGTTTTTATTCAGTACCAACTGGATGCATAAAATTAACAAACAGTATTTTTATGATACTTACTGGTAACTATAGAGCTGGGGGAGTTATCATTGAGCCTAACTCTCTCATTTAGAATCTATAAAGCCTAATAAATATAATTCCAGAGTTTACAATAGAGGTGTGCAGATTTCACCTCACTCCACTCCACCCCACCTGCCCCATTTCTTAAACTTTCTGAACTGACTTAAAGAAAGTTTGTAACAGTCAGGTATCAAACCTGTATACTAAAGAAAAGAGCTAATCTTATTATACAAATTTTATTAAATTATGTCAAAGTCAATTTCTAAATTTCATAATCCTTGGATGCAAGGTAGAGAGGCATAAGATGAAGCACAGTTGCAGCTGTCACAAGATTTACTCATGATGTAGGCATCCAGAGGAAGCTAAGTCACTGGAAGTAATAAGGCGATGAGAATGCTGAAGTCTGCTTTTTAAAAAACAATTAAAATGGTTTGTCATTATTTCCTTGATTCTACAAGGACTAACTACTTCATTTATATTTTTAAAACATTTTTAGCCACTGGGGAAATTAATGTATATCTTGCTAAAACAGTGCAGCTATTTTGAATTATAGCTGATTTCTTTAGTCTTATAGCAATTAAAGGTTCTTTCTATTACAAAAGGAACCTGTGAGCATGAAGGTAGTTTTACACAGCTGTACCTCAGAATGCATGATGAAAATATAATAAAGCAAGAGAATTAGATTCTGAAAAGAATGAACTGGCATAAGTTTGGATCATAAACCAAGACTGTAAATCTAGATCATTTACAAAAAGAATTAGCCATGCTAGCAGAACAGACTTCTTCTATTTCTTTAGAGAAATCCATGGACAGGGAGATTACAAATAAACAAACACGTGATGAAACAATTACACAGTAACAAATTGGAAGCAAGATATAAAAGTGGCCTTAAAGAGAATCCTAACATTGAGAAATATGAGGATGCTATTTTTTAATAATTTTATTTACAGTTATATAAATAAACGAGAA